ATACATATATACATACAAACATACATACTACACATACATACAATCATACATACATACTACATACATACATACATACATACTTACATACATAATCATTACATACATACATACATACATACATACATACATACATACATACATACATACATACATACATACATACATACATACATACATACATACATACATACATACATACATACATACATACATACATACATACATACATACATACATACATACATACATACATATACATACATACATACATACATACATACATACATACTACATACATACATACATACATACATACATACATACATACATACATACATACATACATACATACATACATACATACATACATACATACATACATACATACATACATACATACATACATACATACATACATACATACATACATACATACATACATACATACATACATACATACATACATACATACATACATACATACACATACATACATACATACATACATACATACATAACATACATACATACATACATACATACATACATAAATACATACATACATACATACATACATACATACATACATACATACATACATACATACATACATACATACATACATACATACTACATACATACATACATACATACATACATACATACTACATACATACATACATACATACATACATACATACATACATACATCATATAAATGCACACACACTCACATTCCATACATACACACCTACACATTCATGCATGCATACACGCACATACAATAACATGTATATACACCCATTTACCTACAACATACATACATTAAAACACAGAAATACTTACACACCTAAAAATCGATAAATATATCCACATACATACACACACCCACACACCAATAAGCACACACACACACACACACACACACACACACACACACACACCTACATAATACATACAGCTACATAATACATACAGCTAAGCTGATAATGCATGTGAATTATTAACTACATCTCTGGTGGTATATAATCACTAGTAAGCATGAATTTGAAAAGACTGCAGTTAAATGAGTACATACTCATATTTTTCAGATCGAGTGGGAGGTGATTCCATAAATGAGCAGCAGAATATAACAAATTTGTTTTATATAGATCTATTCTAGGCTTCGGCAAATGCAATAAATTTAGCCGTGTCCTGTACTTAGGGTTGGTGTGAATCAAACGGAAAAGATAATCTGCAGTGTCCTGAGCTAAACTTTTATGAGTAACTTTGGCTTTGTTAAAAATTAATCGTTCATTAAATGGGAGATTTCTTAAATGGCTACAGAGATTATTTTTGTCGGTGTTTTTTTTTTTTTTTCTATCTGAAACTATGTGTAGAGCGCGAGTTTGTAGAGAACACAGTCGTTTTAAGTTGGATTTGGAGCAGCCATCCCAAACCGTGGAATAATAGTCGATTTGGGCTTAAATGTAGGATACATAAAATATTTTACGTGTGCCCTGATCCAGAAAGTGCTGAATTTTGGCTAACTGATAAACTTTTTGTGTTATTTTCTTGGTTTTGACATGAACATGAGAACACCAAGTTGAATTGCTATCATTTGTAACGCCTAATGTTTTGTGTTCATTAACATTACTAATAGGTAATTTGTCAACATGGAGCTCAAGCTTAGGCTTGTTTAAGTCTAATGTCTGTAACTTTTGTCTGGCTGCTATTACCATAGATTTAGTTTTAGTTTTGTTAATTTGCATGCGATTAGCATTACTGAATTTAATCAGCTTATCTGGTTCATTCTGTAATGAACGTCCTAACTAATCATAGTTCTCATGATTAGTGTATGTGAGGAAATTGGTCTATAGTTACCCACATACGTTTTATCAGTTGAGCCAGGTTTATACACTTTTGCAGCTTTGAAGGCAAAAGGAAAGTAGTTCTTGACAAGACACTGATTATATATGAAAGTTAAGAAATCGCTTATCACTGGTGCAGCACATCAAAGAATTCGACTGCTGACACCGTCCAAGCCAGATGAGTTTGTCTGCTTGAGGTTGGTGAGGCATTTATATACTTCAGCAACAGACATGAGAGGAATCTCAGAAGGACTTGCATTAATGCATTTGTCATCACTAAATTATGCCAAATTAGGCTTAAGTCACTGTGCTTCTGGTATGGCGGATTAAATATTTTCTTTTTTCGATAAAGAACAATTACTGAAATCATTACATGTAAGAAAATCTGATATTACAGGATCTGAATGATTCTTCTTGTTGGTCAACATGTTAATAGCCTTCCATATATCTGTACTGTTTGATTTAGCTATAATCAACTTGTTAAATTGACCTTTCTTTATCCTACGGATCATATATTGCACTTTATTTCTTAGTCTACTATACTCTTGATAGCAACAAGTCAGACAGAATTACAGGAAATGATAGACATTGTGGTGTTAGAAAGTGGAAGAATGGGCCTCAGTTTGAATAATGGGAAGACAAAAGTAATGGTGGTATCAAAGAAACAAATTATTCCTAAATGTGTAATAAAAGTCAATAGACAAGTACAGAAATTTAAGTATCTGGGCACATGGATAACATCAGATGGAAAATGCATAACTGAAATAAGAAACAGAATTAGACAGACAAAAACTGCATTTTATAAAATGAAAAACATCTTGTGCAATATATCCTTGTCATTGAGAGCTAGAAAAAGAATTCTTGCTTGCTATATACATCCAGTTTTAACATATGGATGTGAATCCTTGACAATCGGTAGGCAGGCCAAACAATTTTTAGAGGCCTCAGAGATGTGGTTTTACAGAAGAATGCTTAGAATACCTTGGACAGCCAAAAAGAGCAACTAAGAGGTTTAAGAAGAGGCTGGAGCCCGAAGACAACTTATCACTGACATCAGAAGGAGACAGTCATCATTTTTCGGCCATGTTATGAGAAGAGGGAAAATAGAACATGTTGTGACCACTGGAAAGATCTGTGGAAGGAGGGATAGAGGAAGACAACGAGAGAAGATGCTTGACAGTCTTGTTGCATGGCATGGAGGTGTGTCGGCACACGAACTGATACATGCTGCAGGAGATAGCGGATTATGGAGAGGCATGATCGCCCACGACAGTCGGCAAGGCACCTTATGATGACTCTATAACATTTTTATTTTTATCTCATAACTTCCAGAACTTCACTAGTGATCCACGGAGACTTAATTTGACTTTTAACTCTAACTTCTTTAACCGGCACATGTTTATTAAACACATTGTAGACTGTTTTTATCCAGTTTGCTATAGCATCGTCCGGTTCAGAAAGCTGATAAACATGCTCCAGCTGTGCGTTTCGCAAATCGTTAAAAAATATTAGTGAATTAAAGGTTTTACAATTTCTAAATTTAATTGTGAGGTGCTTATCTTTAGGAGACCTAAAGCCACATTTTAACTATGTACAGCACACCGGATAATGGTCGCTGACAGCTAATACAGGAACCATGCATTCAATATTTCCTGGACAGAAGACAAAAATGATCAATGGGGGTTGAAGAGGTTTTTGTAACTCGCGTGGGGAAGTTAATTAACTGTTTAAGGTTATGTGATATAATTCTACCCCCCCCCCCCCCCCCCCCCACGCCTGGTTAGGTTTATTGATATTAATGTTAAAGTCTCCTAGCAGTATAATTTATTTTCCTTTACTTAAAAACTACATCCATCATAGAAGTGAAGACGTCATATCAATCATTACCTGCACAATTATTTCGATACAAGTACTCAATGAAAATTAGCTGATGATTTGACGGCTTGACTTCTAACCAGACACACTCTACAGCTATAGATTCAAGATTACATCTATGGGAATATTTGATACAGTTTAAAATGTACACTGCTATGCCTGTCTCTAATTTTCTCATTGCATCTTTGCGAATTAATTTAAATCCCCTAATAGTGGTTTTATTGTCATTAAATTTGTTGTTTAGACGACTTTCAGTGACTCCAAAAATATGAAACTGATTGTTAAGAGAAGAAGAAGAAGTAGAAAAATAAGAAGAAGAAGAAGAAAAAGAATGAGAAGAAGAAGAAGAAGAAGAATAAAGAATAAGAAGAAGAAGAGGAGGTAGTATTAGTAATTTACTCCATAAAAAACAAAAAACACACAGTGATTTTTTCCATCTATTTTATTTCCAATCAGAGCCCTGCATTGATGTTATCACAATGAGTTTACAGGTAGTGACGTATCGAATCTTAAACAATGGTGAGCTAGGAAAAGCTTCATATCTGATATAGAAACCTAAATGTGACGATTCTTGCTTAACCAATGTTGGTGATGACGTCAGAAAAAGCTCTGTGGACAAATCAAACAAATGTCAGAGCAGTTTTTTTTTAAAGTTATTAAATAAACCATTGGTTAAATCACGACGAATACTTGGACATATCTGATGCGTATTCAATCATTCTGTTCTGAAACTGGAGGACAGGATCCATACCTCGTTGTAGATGGAGACCTGAAACGGCTGTTCACAGTGCTTTAGCGTTGCCTCTTCAGTAATCAATAACATGGAACGTATCTTGCAAGCTTAAATAAAATGCCAAATGTGATTTGGCGACTGGTCTATAACATATATCTAGCCCTTTATGGCCGATAGGCCGGAAGTCTAGGCAAAGGACCTTTACTTGACGGACAAGACCTGCGTTCCTTCCTCGGACGATACTAGTCAGCCCTAGACGACAAATGAAGAGCGTTCAGACCAAGGAAGACGTAATCTAATTGAATAAACAGGCCTCAAGATGCAAACGTCAAGTCTATTGTATCCGACCAACAGAGGTGGAAGGAGGTAACCTGAGAGTCAACAGAAAACAGTGACACGACGACATGGCGTGTGTGCAATTTGATGATGATGAGGAATTGTACCTTGACACACTCTACACCGCCTATCCAACAAGCATGTCGTAAGAATCGAATAATTGAGGATCGTCTTCGTAGTCAGAATGCATCAGCCTTAGAGACAAGAGGCCAACTATCTGCATACAAATAAGCCAGATAAATTAATCGAATGTGCACGCAAAACTTATTTCAGGAACAAGATTACAATCCAGAGGTGAACGAACACCCAGAACTTTCAGCCGGAGTTTACAGCCAGTAAATGTAAAGAAGAAAAAAGAAACTGTTTAAAAATGTCCTTGTCAAGATACAATGTATATACATCTACTTGCTGCTAATGATAGACACAGTGACAGAAGTTACAATAAGTTTTTATAAGGAGTAGAAAATTATAGGGAAGAGAAAAAGTTGGTAAGAAACAACAATTAGTTTATGTTAGCTTTACAAAATCGATCACAATAAACAAACAAAGGACGTTGCTGCGATTAGCCTTCATCAGCACATAAAGGACAACACAGTACACATACACAAATAGGCTCTAACTATGAAGTGACTACATAGGACTTTAATGTATAAAATTAACGATACTCATCTAGTGTCCTTGGCGAAAAAACTTCGTTCAAATGAAACGACAGTCAGCCTATATACCTCCAACGCGCAGGTAGGGGCAAAAAAAATAAAAGGGACGGGCTGGACGCCAACAGCGTACACTAAGTGTCTAAGGAGGGAGGGGTTGGCCTACAGGGCGTAACCGGGGTTGGGTTGTGGGGATGACCTTAGTCCATCCGCGTGGAATAAAAGTGGTGCCTGTGCTTGCAAACAAATATCGACAGATAGATAGATAGATAGATAGATAGATAGATAGATAGATAGATAGATAGATAGATAGATAGATAGATAGATAGATAGATAGATAGATAGATAGATAGGTAGATAGATAGATAGATAGATAGATAGATAGATAGATAGATAGATAGATAGATAGATAGATAGATAGATAGATAGATAGATAGATAGATAGATAGATAGATAGATAGATAGATAGATAGATAGATAGATAGATAGATAGATAGATAGATAGATAGATAGATAGATAGATAGATAGATAGATAGATAGATAGATAGATAGATAGATAGATAGATAGATAGATAGATAGGTAGATAGGTAGATAGATAGATAGATAGATAGATAGATAGATAGATAGATAGATAGATAGATAGATAGATAGATAGATAGATAGATAGATAGATAGATAGATAGATAGATGATAGATAGATAGATAGATAGATAGATATATAGATAGATAGATAGATAGATAGATAGATAGATAGATAGGATAGATAGATAGATAGATAGATAGATAGATAGATGGATGGATGGATGGATGGATGATGGATGGATGGATGGATAGATAGATAGATAGATAGATAGATAGATAGATAGATAGATAGATAGATAGATAGATAGATAGATAGATAGATAGATAGATAGATAGATAGATAGATAGATAGATAGATAGATAGATAGATAGATAGATAGATAGATAGATAGATAGATAGATAGATAGATAGATAGATAGATAGATAGATAGATAGATAGATAGATAGATAGATAGATAGATAGATAGATAGATAGATAGATAGATAGATAGATAGATAGATAGATAGATAGATAGATAGATAGATAGATAGAAAAATGCTTCTCTCTTACTGTCAGCTATCAAATAGAGACAGTAAGGATGCTTGTTATACAAAAGTAATCAGTCGAGCCCGAGAGTAAGATTGGTAACAACCAGATTGAAAGGGAGCGATGAAGGGATAGATGGGAAAACAGCATGTGTGGATGGTGGTGTGGATAGGCGAGTGTGTCCTGGATAGATGGGTGGGTAGATGAATGGATGGAATGGTGGATGACTGTATTAGTGGATGAATGGAATGGTAGATGGATGGATGGGTGGGTAGATGAATGGATGGAATGATGGATGGCTGTATTAGTGGGTGAATAGTATCGTAGATGGATGGATTGATTGATCAAATATGAAATGAGGTAAAAACATGAGTCTAGTAACACAGTGCTTCTCTCTTACTGTCCGCTATCAAATAGAGACAGTAAGGGTGATTTTTATACAAAGTATTGGTAGAGCCCAAGTGTAAGGCTGGTAACAGCCAGAATGGAAGGAAGCGGTGAAAAATAGCATTGAGTGGATGGTGAGATAAATGGTGTGGGTAGATGAATGGGCGGGACGATTGTTACGTTCGTAGATAGATGCAATGGTAGATGGATGGATGGATCTGCCTATATGTATGCTGATATATTAAAATAGGTTTGTTGCTTTGTTTTAGTATCCAGAAGCCATGAGTTGTTAATCCTTAGGCTCGGTATTATGGATATCGCAACCCTTCGGCCTTGATTCCATTTTAAATACCGTAAAGCTAGGAGAAATGTGGCTTTTATGCCTACTCCCGGACCACATGGAGTTCGTCACCCGCTCACCGCGCAATCCGGTTTAGCCAACTACGCTAGAGAGCCGGGGATTTAAACAGGTCCTAACAAGGGTCTCATACTGTGATGCTTCTCTCTTACTGTCATCAAGCAAGTAAAGACAGTAAGGGTGATTGTTTTTTAAAGTATCAATCGAGCCCACGCGCAACAACATCGTGTTGCCTGAGATACCTGCTGAGTAGGTAGCCGAGACTAGTGATGGATTGTACATCGGGTATGTGTGCAAAGAAACGTGGGGAGCGATGAATGGATGGACACATCGAATAATGGGCTGAGTGGATTGAAGTTACAATAATACTTACTTGGCAAATTCGTTTCTGGAAATTTCGCCATCATTGTCGGTGTCTACGCGTTTGAAGACAGCCTCTAGGTCCTTCTTGTTCACCTTGCCGTCTAACTTTCCGTCTGCGTCCTTGTCCAGAAGATCAAAGAGAGCTTGCTCTTTTCCTGATGATTATGAGATACAGAAATATCACAACCAGGATGACAATTTTCCATCAGTCTCCATCATGAAAGGCTTGTCAGCCCTTTGTGACGCATAATGACCCACCATGACAATTTTCCATCACTCTCCATTATGAAAGGCTTGTCAGCCCTATGTGACGCATAATGACCCACCATGACAATATTCCATCACTCTCCATTATGAAAGGCTTGTCAGCCCTATGTGGCACATAATGACCCAACCATGACAATTTTCCATCACTCTCCATTATGAAAGGCTTGTCAGCCCTATGTGGCACATAATGACCCACCATGACAATTTTCCATCAATCTCCATTATGAAAGGCTTGTCAGCCCTATGTGACACATAATGACCAACCATGACAATTAACGAATCTGGTAGGTTTTAACTTCAACATTGCGTAATTGAAGGAATTGACTTAGCGGTTATAACGATGGCGAGCAGGACTGTATGGCGCTGTCGGGGTCGATTATATCACTTCTCATGGGGGATTGGATTAAACACGAAACAATCTCGCCAGAATCTTCATTTGCAGGTGACCAAATATTAAAATCAGAAACAGGAGAGAACACAAACCATCCTAAAGAAATTAAAACCAAGAGACATAAATGTGCCCTTGCCTTCATTGGTTGGTGGAGAAAGAAGTATGGACAGGGCAGAAATACTGAATGCGGCCGCGTTCTAGATATTGTGAGACAAAAGACCCAGAGACACTAAACCAACTGTTGGAAATGGGTATTAAATAAGGACAAACATGTAGAGACCGTTTGTAGGGTACAGAAAGAAGACACACCAGTCTACTTCTACTGAAAAAGGCTGCTGCATCAGACTGAGCACCAGTTTGTGGGACTGATGTACTAGGACGTAGATACGGAAAACCAGTAACAAATATTTATCATCAACATTATCACTTCATCTGTTATCATTTGTATCTCACAATGACAGGCATTGACATTTATCATCATCAGATAAGAGCAATGTTTCTCAACAGAAGAATCCAAATTCTTCGATAGCGTTTTTTATTCTTTAACAAATGGTAAAACAGAAGAAGAAGCCGATGACAAAGTCACGGGAACGATCTTTTCCTAAGCCCCTTCTGTTAGAATCGAACCCTGGTAAAAGGCAGTGAAAGCAGTGTGAAGCCAGTTCACTAAACTCTAAGCCACAGAATCGTATTATAACAAATTAACAACCACTGTAAAAGCCTGTCCTTAGACTAACCGAAGCTTTAACAATTAAACCAAACAATCCTCCTTTATGTAAACAGACTGTGTTCACGTAAATTCGAAGTTACCCTGATGGTTCATGTGACTATCATGAACTTCTGGCAATTAGACAAACAATGTATGGAAATATTATATGTGGATTCACCTCTGTAGCTTTGTATACAGCGAGATACGATAGGTAATAAAATGTGCGACAATTTATAATACAAAAAACATCCAATCTGCTGCTATGTGAACAACTGCATAACCAGTTTTACGCAATGTTTATGATTTCTTTTTTTTTTCTTTTTTTTTTTTTAAATCTCAGCATCATTTTTAGACAAATCATCCATTTTAAAAAAAAATGAGTTTCCATCATTAGTTTCAGTAGGTGTCCAAATTTAACACTAACAGAACACAATTACCTAGACAAATACACACACACAATTGCGCAGTGTACAGTTCATATCCTGTTATTAATTAAAATTCACAACGGGGGAAACATTGTTTTGAATATCTGTTGACTGTCAACATGTGATACTTACCGGCGAAGGCGGGGTCAATCGTATCGACGTTAGTGGCAAACTCTTGAGCGGTGATTTTGCCGTCCTTGTTGGTGTCAAAACGCTGTGGGTAACACACTTTGTTAACTCTTTGTAGCTAATTGGTTTTTAAAGAAATTATGACATGCATAGGCATGGCATCAGCAGATTCTAGGAACCTGAATAAAATACACACGGATACATACCATTCATAAACACACATAAGCACATACATATATACATATATTCCTAATCAACCACCTGTTACATATATTCTTTATTGACTACCTGTGTGTATATATATATATATATATATATATATATATATATATATATATATATATATATATATATATATATATATATATATATATATATATATATGTGTGTGTGTGTGTGAGTGTGTGTGTGTGTGTAAGTGGGTAAATAGGTAGGAATTAGGAAGACATTCTGGTTAATTGATAATAGGCAGGTAATTAGAAAGACAGATGGTAGCTAGTTATAAAGACATTTCGGTTGGTAGATAAGTAGGTAGGTAATTAGGAAGACAGTTGGGTAGATAGATGAGTGGGTAGGTAACTATGAAGACGGTTGAATAGGTAGATAAGTAGGTAGGTAATTAGGAAGACAGTTGAAAAGGTAGATAGCTAGTTGGGTATTTAGGAAGACAGTTGGGTAGGTAGATAAGTAGAAAGGTAATAAAGAAGACAGTTGGGTAGGTAGATAAGAAGGTAGGTAATTATGAAGACAGATGGATAGGTAGATAAGTAGGTAGGTAATACAGAAGACAGTTGGGTATTTAGATAAGTAGGTAGGTAATAAAGTAGACCGTTGGCTAGGTAAATAAGTAGGTAGGTAATAAGAAAGACAGTTGGGTAGGTACATAAGTAGGTAGGTAATAAGGTAGTAATTTGGGTAGGTAGAAAAGTAGGTAGATAATTAGGAAGACAGCTGGATAAGTAGATAGGTAAGTAGATAATAAGGAAGACAGTTGGGTAGGTAGATAAGTAGGTAGTAATTAGGAAGACAATTAGCTAGGTAGATACGTATGTAGGTAATTAGGAAGACATTTGGGTAGGTAGAAAAGTAGGTAGGTAATTAGGAAGACAGTTGGGTAGGTAGATAAGTAGGTAGGTAATACGTTACCAAAAGGTAGCCGACAGCCTCTGCCTCACTAATCTTTTTATCACCATCTTCATCCAGAGCTTTGAAGAGGTCTTCCTCCAGATTGGCTGGTGGAGCGGCAATGATCAGGGCAGGCAGGACGAGCAGAAGAACGAAGACGAGCATGGTTCTGTAACAATCAATTAAGTTTTTAGACTACATCGATATCATTTGTGTGAAGTTTCGACAGCTCAGCATTTAGAACAGACCCGTACTGTTCAGGACGTGCAGGAGTGCGAGGCAATAAAAGTGTGGATTATTTTGATACAAAAACAACGATAGCTACAGAAACACTGGAACTGGACAAATGGGATATTTCAGAGAGCATTTATGAAAGAATGCTGAACACGCGAAGTTAGATGATCACCAGAAATGAGAATGTGTAAATGTGCAGTTAAGAGTGAGACGTGTGTAAAAAAAAAGTAAAGATCCCTTTACACGCCCTTAGGCGCATATAGGAGAAGCACCCATATTTTTACAGACTAATCGTCACTCGGTGGGTAATGTGGTCAGCATTACGCCGGCCATCTTTACTTTCCCAGAACAGCTCATCCTGGTACCCATTTGAGGCTGGGTCGACCTGCGACCTCCCATACCACAATAAAAATACACGCAGCCCGCAGTGGGTTTCGATCGCGGTACGTTGGATTACGAGTCACTCTCGCATGGCCTTAGCCACGGACGCCGCAGTGAGCCGTGTGAGATGGGGATAACGATCATGTTTAATCAGTGTGCTACGGGAACAGTTAGCGTCTAATCTCAAGACATTTGTAGCGGGAGACGGAGCATCTATGGGTATGGATGGTGAAGTGTGATACCCACTACTAAATCAATAATTAGTGAGTTTTTAGCGGAGAAGCTCATTGTGAAATATCCCAGCCTTATCCCAGGAAGAGGAAATGCCACCTGGAAACTTTATGTTATACCAGGACAGACCAGGCCCTTAGCCTTAGCTGGCAGCTTGTCTAAGAGGGAAGCTCCTAGAGGCGGACAGATAGATCACTGTTGTTTTGATATGGCAGCTTCTGCAGCTTGCTGTGTTCCAAAGTTCAGTACTAGTGTTGTGTTTCCTTACGATTCATGGGAAACATATGGTCTCTGCAATACTGCCAAGACTTTACGGTATAGAGAGGATCTTTTCTTAACGCTAGTCACACTCGCCATTGCCATTGGCGCTTAGTCCCATGTTTCCTCATAGCGCAGTAAAACACTATCGTCTAGAAAGCCAATCAATCAGTGAGTGAAATAACTCTAGTGCTGCTACTGCTACAGTATACAGTATTGTTTCTTTAACTTTATATGGCATACTCACCTGATTCTTGGATGTCTTGAAGACTTGGTCACAAGAAGCTGTTGGATTTGTGTAGGCCGAGTCCAAAATCCCCAGGGATTATATAGCACCTGGTCTCGTGTTGTCAAAATCTGGAAATCTGCCTATGTGCATGTTATTTGCATGTCAGTAATTTTTTTTTTTAATGCAAGGCAATAATATAGTTTTTCTTTTTGCTGCAAGGACATTTTAATTTAATACTCCTCCACGACTTTGAAGATAAGATACTGTCACAGAAAGACATGCTTTTAACTCTTCAGTGTTCTCTTCACTCTGATATCTCCTAGTCTAAAATGTTAACTCGTTTATTGTTAGGAACATAAGTAAGAAGATTAACATAATTCGGACAAAGAAGATGGTGGAGAGATACTAGCAGACACGCAAACGTGCAGTCACCTATAGGGAAATAAAAAAGGCAATCCCAAAGATGAATGGAGAAAAGTTTTAACAGCAGCAAATACCTCGAAAGCTTGTATTGCTGAACAAGAAGAAAAGAAGAAAATGAAGAAAATGAAAAAAGAAGAAAAACAATAAAGATTAAAAGATTATTATTTAGTGGTGAAGGAAGAAAAATCAGAAGAAGTAGAAAGAAAAAAAAAGAAAAAGGAAGAAGGAAGAAAGAAAGGAAGGAAGGAAGAAGAAGAAGTAAAAGAAAAAGAAGAAGAAGAAAAAGAAGAAAAAAAAAGAAGAATAAAATCAATAATAAATATAATAATAACAACGAAGCGCAAATAAAAATAGAATCATATAGAAAATGAGTTAATACTTTTAATGTTCAGGTTATCAAAAGTTCACACAAATTTAGAACATGGTTAACTCTGGAAACCGTCATATTTCTGCAGTATATCTTAGTCGACATGCAAGATAAGACAAGAGTTCAAGTAACTTGCGTCTTGTGATCAAGGACGAAGCATGATTTAGCCAGTCTTAAAAACAGAGTTTACTGACAATGCATTGTGCAATTGTTTTAGACTTAAGTAAACCAATGCAACAAAGTCTTTTTCACGTCTTGAATCATGCAAGGTTCATTGCGTCTTCTCCATTTACGTGTTTTTTTTTCTCTGTTGGACTGTAGTCTCGTAGCCTTCTCGCAACACATCTCATATCCTTTGCCGCTGTGAGCAGCCCAATTCATATTTTTCCTAGTCTTCATTTCTCCATTGTCTCATTTTTTTCCCTTCATTCCTTGCGTGGCTGAGCGTTTGTGAGTGCACTGTCATAATTCAAAGATGAGCAACGACTTGCGAGGTTTCAAGAAAACGGGCAGCTGAGAAGCACAAGCAGGCAAGAAAATAAGCGTACAACAGGCCCTTTACCTACATGTATTGTTCCCTGATTTCATTGTCCTAGATCCTTCCCGGTAAATATTGGTCGTATAAGTCACCCCTGGACTCACAGTCAACTGTAGTTTCATGACCGATGAAAGAAAGAGTGATCCCAATTACCTGTGATGTTCGAGCAAGCATCTGCATTCTTATCTCTGTGTGTTTTTTAAAACTTCATTCCTTTAATTTGTAACCGAGGTTTAGTGGCTGTGAACGCACTGTCATAAATCTTCTCTACGTCAGGAAAACCGCCGTGGTCAAGCGGCTAAAAGCCCGCCTGCGGATCGAAAGGTCCCATCTTTGCATGCACATTTGTTTACTTCATACTGTTTACTGTCTCAAGAGCACCTTACCCGTTTATTTCCATAAAAAAAAAAAAAAAAAAATGTAAGAAGGGTAAAAGGCGTGAACGCGACACCCTAACCAGCAATCCTAGCACCAACAGCAGTGCAGCTACAGGAACATTTTAATAGACTCCATTCAGAATGCGACAGCTATGATATGAAGATCAACGTAGACAAAACATAATTTATGATATTTTCAAGAAAAGGAAGAACTACCAATATCAAAATATATGACCAGCAGTAAAAAAAAAAAAAAAAAGCAGGAGAAGGATTTTACATATTGGGGAAGCTTTTTTTTCTTTCTGAAGACGGAAGAATATATGAATAAATTTAACAAAGACTAAATAAATCCAATCACGTTTTAGGCAATATGGCACCAGTTTTGAAATGTGCGATGAACCTTGGCTTACGACGTATCTGCTTCGCCACGATTCGGCTTTAAATGATTGCTGCATCATAACTACTTGCACAGCTCTAACGTCTACGATTGATAACACAAACGGCTCTTAGTTCCTTTATAAACTTCTGTCAGTTTATTCGATCACAGTCTTTCACACTGTTTCAACAATTATTCAGAATCCACTAATCGTCTTCAAGACATTGAAACTACATCTTCTATTAACACAACCATCTTCTACGACTTCTGGTAACCAACTGACCACGAGTCTAGCTCAGGCCTATACATGTCTACTCAACTGGTCACAAGACTCTCGTGCGGTTGTTTGTCGCATGGATTTTCCGCTTGCCTCTCTTTGAGCGTGGAGACCATGCAAAGCAGGGTCATCACAAAATGCAAGCATGTGAATCATCATCATCATCATCAATCGCTTTGCCAACTGGCGTAGGCGTTCATGCATTCTAACAGATCTCGGTCTTTGGTGTTCTGGATTTGTTCCACTGATGATATTCCTCCATGCCAAAATCATTTCTCTTGGTCGGCCTCTGCCTCTTCTACCAGTGGTCTTTCCAGTCGTCACGATATTTTCCAGTGCTCCTTTTCTCATTACATGACCAAAGAACTGTCTCCTTCACATTGTTATACATAATGTTATACTTTTATTAGCCATTTTCAGGCATTCTGTGTTGGTTATTCTATCAGTCCAAGGTATTCACAATATTCTTCTTAAGAACCACATCTCAGTTGCCTCCAAACTTTTCTTAATTTTGTTATTCACATTTCAAGAGCATATGTAAATGAACACTAAAAGAACACTGTTCCACATACTTTTCTTACTAACGTTTTACTGTCAATGTCAAACATGGACACTGTCTTCAGCAGACAGAAGGAAAATAGTCACGTCAGAAATGGGAATGTTTACTAATCATGCTTGGTGTAACGGAAATAGATAGCTTTGGTACGACGATATCAGAAGGAGAGTCGGCACAGAACCAATGCTGAACTTGATAGGTAGAGAACAAACCAAATAGTTTGGCCATGTAACAAGATTAGCATCAGAAAAGGCACCACAGATAGCAATGATAAACACATACAGCGGTAACAGACCCAGAGGTCGATAACGCAGAAAATGGACCGCTGAAATATCAGAGACGCTGAAAAGTTTTTTATGTGAAACGAACAGAATGGCCTATTTCAGAGATCTTCTCCTGTTCTGACGCTGTAACGCATTCCATGAGTAGAGAGAAGAAGAAATAGATGAAGATCCAGGTGAAAAAGAAGGGTACGGCGGGAACACGACATCCTAACCCTTGTGAACCTACATCTTGATATATAAGCCTCAAAATCGGATAGCCTTAAATAACAAGGAGTGGAGATCAGAAAAACTGATGACGTCTTATTGCAAAACTGAAAAAAAAAAAAGCTTTAGACTAAACTTTGCAGGAATAAATGAATAAAACAGCCGAGAATGGGGACATGGTTGACTGGGGAGATGTTTGACCTGGGACATGGTTGATAGGGGGCATTGGTTGACTGGGGACATGTTTGACTGCGGATATGGTTAACCGGGGACATGGTTGACTGGGGACATGGTTGAATGCGGACATGGTCCACTTGGGACATGGTTAACTGGGAACATGGTTGACTGGGGACATGGTTGACCGGGGGCATTGGTTGACTGGGGACATGGTTGACTGCGGACATGGTTGAGCGGGGACATGGTTGACTGG